TAGTTTTAATATTAGAGTGAGTTGACCTATTAACAAACTTAAGTTCCAGAACAATGAGGATCTTGATTTTTAAAATTCCGCCGCCGAACCATATTTTAAAACTGAGCGCTAAACAAAACTCAGACGGGGAATCGGGGTAATGCCCCGATTACACCTTCTACACTAAAGCATGATCCAAGCATCACTACTTAATATATTTCGCCGTCTGCCTACGGATTAGCCGCCTTCGGGGGCCGGAAACCACCCGAAATACTTTTCGTAAATGTTAAGAGTCGGACATATTTCAACATCCAGATACCAACAGAATGAATAATCAGCCCAGGGCTGAGGGTCTCTCGATTCAGAACTGTCAACGCAATCTCTGTTGCCAATGGTAAGCGGGAAAACCGATGACATCCCGCGATGCGACCCGAAGGTCGGAGTGCAAATAGTTCTCGGACTAACCATAATTTGAATCACGTTTGAAAATTAAAATGTCGAAAAAACATATGTACAAGCGCAAAAAATATTTTTATTTTGGATTCTGAGTGGAATGAGGAATGCATTGGTATTATAATAATGTTTATTATTATTATTATTATTCTTTATGTGAAACTTTTTCTACCAGAAAGCATAGTCCAATTATGATGTATAGAACCTTTTCTGAAAAGAAATTGGCGTGGGGTGGTACTTTAAGGAATTCATGTTTTGATTTTCTCAAACGTTTTCTCATCAAATGAGAAAAAACCAAAAAAAAAAAACGGAAAAATTTACGAAATATAATCTTATGATTTTTTTTCTGTGGACCAGTAATTTTGCTCCGACATTTAATAATAGCAATGTTTCTAAAAGAAAATTTCACTAGAGAGGTACATTAAAGAAGTATTTTTTTGATTTTCCCAGAAAATGTGAAAAACCGGGATAAAACATGGGAAAATCTTATGAAAACTGGGAAATTAATACAACATAAACAAAGTTTATTAAAGAAAATATATAAAGCCTATTTATTTATTTCATTTTAAAATGATATATATATTGTTGATAAAGCTTCACTATCAACTAAACTCCGCACAGAATCATTTTTTCGTAAGCAATAGTTTATCGGGGCTTACAGATATACATTAAATTCCTGTCTATATCCTACCTTTCTTTTTTTTTTTAAGTTTGATAATAGGTAAATTTACTCTTAATTAAAACTTAAGCACAAAATTGGTCCTAATAAACCATAAATTGACATCCAATTTTCAAAATTAGCCGCAACATATATATACATATATTATATAATATAAGGTAAATTAGTTTATAACTATATAAATAATAAATGATTATACATGTAATATTATTATTAATAATTTATTGAATGTGACGATTAATCACCGTCGTAACACGTTTTACCGTTTTTTTTTCTTTTTAATTTTTAGAGATTTTGCGGTATTAAAAAAAATAACGGGTTCACGTACGAAAAGAATATGAAACTAAAAGCTGTTGGCATATATTTATGATGTGATTTAGTTATAATCAGCGTTTATTACCTTCGAAAAGAACGGTGAAAAAGCGATTAAAAAACTCAGCACTCAAATAACCAGTAGAGTAGGGTAATACCTATATAATATTTTTACAACTTTGGATCGAAAAAATAAGGTTAAGACGAAATTATATTTATTTTAATTTATGGTCTATTACAGTATACCTACGTATAAAAAACATAAAAAAAATATTGAGTTTCCGTTAGTAGCTTCAACTCGTTCGTCTTCTCAGAGTGGAAACTAATATATAACTATATAAAACTATTTTTTCTTGTATAAACATCATGGAAAAATAATAAGCGAAAATCGAAACTTCCAAATTTCATATTTGAAATCGTTGGAATAGTTTTACGTAAAATATTATAATACCATGACCGTACCGCTATAGTTGATTTTACGTGAAAACCAAGAAAATTAACAAAAAAAAAAAAAAAAAATGCCGGGGGTTTCAAACCCCGGTAATGATTTTGTATCCGACACGATTTTGAACATACTATAGTTCTAAAACAATGTAAACCTATCGAAAAACGTATGTAAATACAGTGTTATACGGTATAGGGTAAGGTATTCGGGACTTTCGCGGTGTTTTTTTAAAACTCTTTTATAGAAAAAAAAATAAAAAATACAATATTAATAGCGTTTTTATTCAAAGTAAATTCCGTTTTAATATTTTTATCACGCGTGTGAAACAACTCTAGTTCAAACAACAGGAATAATAATAATAATTATACATACCGACCACACTATAACCGCACAATGTCTCGTAAAAAAAAAAATTAAGCAATGTTTTATTTTTTTTTTGTGTACAATATTTTTACGAGCTGTAAAACTATATATATTTATGTATGTACTAAGTTTTTTTTTTTTAACATATCCGCCAAACATGTAACCGCCGAAATGCCCTGGGCCGTTAAGTGTATGTGGGGAAGGTTAGGGGGTTGTAATTCGGTATATAGGTATATAGAGTCACCAAACAAGCGTATTAATTATTATTTCGTCGACTACCGGACACCGGACTACCGGTATATAATATAATATTATACTTGCAAGAGCATATTGTGATATACAATCTTAATAGGTATCATGCCGCATCGTAATTCGCATACAATAAGTTATATACAGTATTAATATATATTATCGTCGTCTATAATATAATACGATATCGTTATGACGTATCCCTACCCACACGAAATTTCATGCTGAAATTAATTATTTCTCGTCGGCCATCTCGAAACGCGATATTACTATCATTAGAATACCTACGTACCTATTTCATCGTCGCTCGTCACAACGGTCATATTAAATCATGAAATAAACGGTCGCATACCGTGGTCATGGAGTTTACCCCGCCCCCCTCCCACCATCTTAATAACAATTATTGTCTAACGCAATGCAAATATTTAGCAAATCAATTGCAAATAATTGCAATAATTTCCGAATTAAAAAATACTAATGGTGCTGACGAGTCTTATAGTTTTGACACATATGTTATGAAATTTGCTCTTCTCACGCCACTTAAATTTTTCAGAATTCAGTCATATTCAGATAAGATGTATAAATATTATGGTAAGACTGATATTTAAGTGTGATACATTTAATTCAATTTTGTTTTTTTAATAGTTTACGTTTTTAATCATATATTACGTTTTCGTTTATGATTTTATTTCTTTATTTTCCGTTGTATGGTATTGAAAATGGTCTTTGTTATTGTACAATTTTATTTAAAAAACGATTTTAATTCTTTCATTTAAGTATATTCACAATTAATTCACTTTTTTGTATTAATTTAAGAAGTATTAAATATGAAAATAAAAAATGTTTCAAGCAACAATTGTGACATAACAATAATTATTAACATTTATCATATGAGAAAATAATATTGGTAAAACATTTTTAGAAGACTGTTAATTTATAATTGGAAAATGTTTAACTTCACTTATAGTCTCGGCATTATCGATCTGTTTTAAGGTCATAACACTATAGGTCTCTAATATCTTATTTTCCGATTTTTGCATATTTAATTCAGAGATCACGCATAATTACATTGGAAAATAAAATTCGTGCAACCTGAACGTTTTTAACCATAGCACGAAGAGAGAACTGACGCTGTCACTACCGGACTTGGAAAAAATGGTAAACTAACTATATACATACATATTATATTCTGTGCAATCTTCTTTTTCTTAGTCTTATAGTGGTCCATACAGGACCATCGCCGTTTCCATATCCAGTGATGGACTGACTATCTTTAGGATTTTTTCTACCATATTGTACAATCGCTATCGAGGCCTACCTATTTTAGTCCACTCAGCAGAGGTGACCAGCAGATTACAAATTCTTTCTAACAAAGAATTTTAGTAAACTAAGATTATTGTATAGCTGATGCAGGTTTTTTTATTGATTCTTCTATGAAAAATTCTCAAATAATTATAGTATACCGGGCCATATATTCATATTCTGTGCAATAACAGTGATAAAAACAAACCAATTTTAATCAAACTGTTTATTTTAAAGAGTATGATTTTTATTGTATGTTCCAAGTCTGGACACTCTGTATTATAATATATACAGAACAGTTAATTGTGGACATGTCTGTTTACATTTGAGTTACGGGTCAAATTTTATTTTATAACTTTACACACCACAAATTGGTTCAGTATACGAGCTTCCCAGAATACACGTATCTAAGTTACTTCGGTATTACTGTATGAGTCGTAAAGTACGACGACAATAACTCGTACTTACTCAAATAACAGCTCTTATATACGTCTTATACTTCACACAATAATGATGTAACCTCATATATATCTATACCCTATCTACGGTACACAGCACACGACGATGCGTCTTCCTTAAAAAAGTTCAGTCGGGCGATACGTCGTGCTGACGGGATTAAAATGTCGTACATTGTGCTGGTGAGCCCGAGTTTAAAAAATAAAAAAAGTATTCATAGCGCTGTACAATAAACCATCTAACTAGATCCAAAGCTATCGATGCAAACCGCGTAATTAAACGAGTTTTCAAAAACCAGACCTTACAATATTATTACGAAAAATCGTAGATATACTGTGCCGTAGAGAGAAATCGTGGGCCCTCGGGACAAACTAATTCCTCCTAATGTCGGCTATTAAACTTACCACTAACATAAAGCGCCGTTCTATAAAATATGTATGAACAAAAAAGTTTAAGATTGAGGTATAAGGTATTTAAAAGTACATATCTTATTGTTACTAAGATATATTATATCAGTATAATATAGTGCAAAGTAATTATTATGACATCAATATAATGAACTATAATATAACTATAATTATATTTTTAATTACAAATAATTTTTATATTAATATAAAAATTAGGTAAAATATCTTACTCTTTGAGACCCAGGCCCTAGAGCTACAGCCCTGGCTACACCCTTCCATCTCTTGTTGGTCCTGCAGGTATAATCGTTTACGAGGAAATGCAACACGCATCTTCTTCTTCTCTTTCGCCTTCATTCTATTTCTTCAACTTCCACTCAATCCGATCTTCCTCCTCGCATTTACTGGCTGTTCTCATATCATTCTCAATCCAACCACCTCTTTTAAAGTCTTCTTCTTTCTCCATTTCCTCCTACGTTTATTTTCATTATAGTTTTTATTGCTTCTGATTCTTCCCTCCGGATGCTATTCCTAATCCATCTTAGTATATTTTGTCTCATTTTGTATAATATCGAAGACACGCTTAAGTTACATCTTATGAATTCATTCCTCATCTTATCTTCCGTCGAGATTCCACTCATCTACTTTAGCTATCTTGTCCAGTGCCTCCAAATTTATACTCTGTATACTCTGTTTTACTTCTACTTATCCTTAGTTCCATATTTTCAAGTGCTATTCTCTATTTGTCAAGCTTATTGCTAATTTCTTTTAGATTTTCACCTGTCAAAACTATGTCATCTGCACATATTTTCAAATTCTTATCTTACGTCTCCATGCACATTAGGGATGTGACAACCCACACAAAACTTGTTTAGAATGCCTAATGTTGTTCGGCAGAATTTTTTAGCAGACGTTGACTTAAACAAATCTTTTATTTGTTGGGAATCCTGTAAGTAGAAGTATAAAAGTTAAACATTTTTTCTTAAAATTACAAATTAAAAACTGTTAAACTGGCCAATTTTTTTTTGTCAATTCGTTAATTATGAAAAATTTAACGCCGAAAATTATTATGAAGGTGTACATTTTCCACCAAGTCGACAATTAACCAATAAAGCGAAATATTGATAACCCTTCTCCCAATGAGCAGAACGGAGTGCGGTAGGTCGGTTAAAAATTCGCGATAAATGCCATAACAATGGGAACAATCATTTTTATTACCGGGGTGTAATTTATTATAATTTCCTTTGCTTAAACACGTTACCAGGCATAATCTACCTGGTACACAATACGAGGGCGGCCAGTACGTTGCGAGCATGTAGTGGTATAAGTGCCGCGGTAACCGCCGCTGATCGTGGCTCGTTGTTCTCGTTTCTCCGATGAATAATTCGTCAGGAAATCCGTGTCGGTGTCGCGTATAACAGTAATAATAACAATATTATTATTATAATTGTCTAAACCGCGCCGTATACCATTAGGTCTAATGATATAATTTAACATCGGTAACTACCACGGCGGCGACAGTAGCGTCAGGTATATCATATTATTAGTATACTACACTATACAGAGTGGTCACTTGTATTATGAACCGAAAATTTTCTCAGAGAATTTTAGGTGAATTCGATTTCTATTTTTTTTTTCAATCAATGCGGAATTGCTTAAGTTTTGTTCAGTAAAGAAGGTTTATGGTTATATCATCTGGAAAAAGATATTAAACTTAAAAAGTTATAATTCAGAAACGGTATTTCCGATAATGGTGTTATTGTATACTATACATACCTATCAACATTTTTAGAAAATAATTAATGAGAGGTTTCCTATTTGAAAATCAAAAGTCAATACTTATTTAAGGTATATTGGTTGAAAAATGTCAAATAGTTTAAACAATAAAGCTTAAACGATTCCATTTGAATCGGTTGAAAAGAACAGAGAATCAAATTCACTCAAAATCCCCCGTGCTGTTTTGTTAAATCGTGTTCGCCCTGTATACTACGAGCACAAACCGCGGTAATCCGTAATTGAACGACTAGATGTATACCACTGTATAATAATGATAATAATAATAATATGTACGGGGTTATATTATGCGGATTACGCGTGCGATACCGAGGACTCGGCTACTGCTCTGTAAACGCGTTTAATCGTTGTGAGGCGCAACAGCTGTGCAGCGACCGTGATAGGTCCTTTTTGGCGAAACTGTCGCCGCAGCTGTTTCCGATGGCTTAAAAGTGCGCACGTGTTATAACAATAATATCGTGGGGCGACAATGCGAAACGTGCTGTTGCCGAAATTATTATAATCGAGTTAGATACGTTAATTATTACGTCGATATAGCGAGTATGAACTGCAGTGGTATTGCTGTCAATTTGTTTTCGATTGTCCTGTACACCATTATAATATGCCTTAAACGTGATACTTATTATATATTTTTCTTTCGGTTTGCAATTTCCTTTGGGGGAATTGTGATGACGGCGAAAACTCTCGGAGAGTATTATATGCTAGCCAGCCGAGTGATGCCAGCAGAAGGAGAAAATTATTTAACAGTATAGCAGTATAGCTGTGATTTTTCAAAAAGGTGTTAAGAACATACAGCGTATATGTAGTAAACACTATTGTAACACCACTGATTATAAACGGTGGACAATTGCGAATGAAGTGGACGGATTTTGACAAAATGTAAAGGTAGGTGGGTGAGTATAGATATTTCCCTAGTTAAATTAATCTTGACGATTCACGCTTTCTCCAAAATGCACCTTTTCTGTCTCCAAAATAACGTAAAAAATATATGCTTGCGAACCACATCAGTAACTAATAATAGTTTACAGAAATATTTAATTAATTCATAGTTCTATTATCAGTTATTACTATGAAATAATCACTGTAATTATTATTAGGTACTATATAATATAACTTTTTTACATAAATTAATTATACTTATTAATTTTTGTATTGGGTATTACTCAAAATGCTTGAAAAACAACGAATGTATGGTAAGTAGTATTTTTTTTTTTTTTTTAGAAAATAGTTTTAAAGGTTGAAATAGGTTATGGAGAGGGGGACTAGATCAGTATGTAAAATAAATAGTATATGGCAAAATTGTATATGTTATTAAGAAATAATAAGTTATGATAAAATATAATATTTCCATTCAATTTTGTTCATAACGAACTAGGTGGTGAAAATAAGACGTTATGGCACAATACAAATTGATAATTCATTGTATCCGAGAATGAAGAGGTTATATATATATATATATTGATTGTTTGAAAACTCAATTTGAATAGATGGTCGTATAGACCACAAATTACTTATTATTTAAGATTACTACAAAGTTTCTACCTTAATTTGCTTTCAAGATACTCAAAATAGAATGGTTTTGAATAATGAGAAAAAAAAAAAATGTTTTTTTTTTTTATAAACAAAATAAAACATTTTAGATACCGAGTGAAGCGAAGAAGCTTATGATTTTACAAAGATATTTATTTATTATTTTTTTTTTTTTTTATCTTTGAGCAAATTCTTAGAATTATTTATTATTTGAGTGAGAAAAGATTCTATTTAACAATATAGAAATTGTATTTTAGATATCTGTTCGGTTCTAATGGTAGGTCTTATCTCAAAACAGTAACTTTGAAAAGGTTTTATCTCTACAGTGTTTACTTTGAAAAGGTTTTCTCGGCAACATACACATGTATCCACGCGCATACACACATATACAGAAACACTCAAACACACGCATGCATCCCCACACATCAAATATTATTATATGTATAACGCGTTTTAGTTTTTGGAAAACGAGGTAGACAACGCGTTAACGTGTATTATAGTAAATCGGTATATAGATATCATATCAGTGTTTCCAAACATCTTTATTACTACGGTCTTCGGACCGCGGAGAACTTTCGATAGGTCGCGGGGGACTAGGTTTGCTAGTCATCACTTTTTTTTCCACGTAATTGGAGAAAAAAACTTTAATAACATTTTATAAGCGAATAGCGCAAATGTGTTGTAAATCGGTCGGGGTACGTAACAATGATAAACCATCACTTTCAACTTTGAAGAGCTCGTAAAACTGAAAAAAAAAATCATAAAGGCGCATCATTTCGTCCGGAGAAAAAAATTTGTTAACGTTCAACAGACTACTGACATACGTTATACAATATTACCTATGTGTATATATATATATATATAATATATACGAGTATTCAGTATAAAGCCGCAAACACGAACGGTCACGGGACATTGACACGCCGCGTTATTCGACCGTTTGATTGCAATATTATAATAGCAGGTGTCGTTTTCAATAATCACTTGTGACATCATTGCATGCGTGATATTATAACTATTATCTACCTATTTGAAATACAATACACGGATTCATAGGTGATAAATACACCCTTACCAGCAATAAGTTAAGCTATATAACTCAATGATAATTGCCCGCAATGCACGTTAGACGAAGAAAACCTAACAAATGCTACACATCTCGCATTGCTATCTGTCGAAGGCTATGCAGATATAATACATAGGACATAGTGTGTATTATTTGGTTTGAATATTTTATGTTCTTTAATTAATCTGTAGTGGCGTCAGTGGCGGCTATATGATATAACAACCCCATCTAGTCCATTACATAATATCATCAACCGACTCGTGAAAAAGGTGAGTGATAAATCTTAGATGCCTCCAGTGTCATTACAGATGAATTAAGGATCAATACTGTTGTACTGGGTACAACAATAAATATCAAAATACAAACAGGAATTCATATCAGTCCTTTTGGTTATGTATCCGTGTGATCGATAGAAAAAATAAATTCAAGTATGAGTTAATAATAAATAAGAAAGACATATTTTAATGAAAACCGTATTCATTAAAACGACAAAATGTATTGAGGTGGACATCTCTTACAATATAAATTCAAATATTCAAAGTGAAAATAATTCTACGCTCGTTACAATCTAAGGTTAACTTTATTTTTTAGGTATTATGCATTGAAAGATAAATCGTAAGTCTTAAATTCGGGGTGTCCTACGAACATAAATCAATATTATGATAACTCAAGAGATAACGAAGACAATCAAGTTTTATATTTTTTTTTTTTTTTTAATGGCTCACAAGAAAAAGAATTAAAAATATTCATATTTTAACTAAATTTATATTTTTTTGGTAAAGAGTTTAAAAAAATTAATTTATTTTATTAATTTCGAAAAATGTTAAGATATCCATTTTAGAGAGTTTATTCTACTGACATTTCTTTATTTTCATTCTCAATAATCTCATGATTTTTAATAGGGTAAGGTACTTAGTTTACAAATAAATAATGTACCTATAAAACATTTGTTGGTATTATCTCAAAACTTTTTATTAAACAAAACGAGATGAAATAATTTCAAAACACTACTTTGATATTAAATTATACTCTATTTTTCTCTTAGGTGACGAAAACATACAAAAATCATGAGGTTTATAAAAATAAAGAGATTAAACGTCAACAATTGTCAGAAGAATAAACTCTATAAAATGGCTATTTTAACTATTTTCGAAAATTTTGAAAAATGAACCTGATAAAAGTAATTTTTTTTATAGCGATTAGGGGGTAAATAAAAATTAAATTTGCCACTATATATACGTACATTTTATGCCCCTAACACACAGTATAATTGCAAAATTATTTTCAAAAAACATTGAATATCAACAAAGATATAAAAATTCGTAACACACGGTGGAGCGACATCCCGTGTAGGCCAACTGGCCGAGAAACTACAGTGTATTTAATATTACTTGTTTGTACGGACATATCCGTCCGATTCGCTCGTCCGGTAAAATAAGGTTTTATCAAAAACGCGTATCGCGTATCGCTTATCTGCCTTACCTAAGAGATTGTGTATAAGTCGAACACGTGAACTGTAAATAATGTTATCGTATATCGTTGTACGATTATGGTATTAATACGTAATACCGTAATGGTGCAACCACGGGAGCGCATCTTTTAGTTCATAACCCGAAATGCGTTTGAGCGGAAAAATTGTGTAATACGTATTATAAATTATACTATTAATATTTCAGCGGGACTCGGTAGTTTATTGCGCGTTTATAATATTACGTATAATAATAATGCTCTCGGGCCGATCGTCCGGAAATCGGGGTCAACGACTACGACGGCGGACGAGAGCACATCTTATTATTAATTTATTAACTGATGACGGGTAGTTAATGAAAATCATCAGAAATTCATTATGAATTTGATAATGTAGTACGGCGATGAGCGAGAAAACTTTGGTTGCCCCGTAAACGCGCAAATGATTAATGATTCGTTGCTTTTGCAGCAAGATTGCGCCTCGAAAACGGACGGAAATATTAAATTTCTTGCAGCAATATTATTTCGCTGAGGTTTTATAACGCGTCTATATCGAGTAATTAACGAAAAATCAGTCGCTAGGTACCGCTGCGATATAAACCTCCTGTACCTATAAACTATAGAGAGCCACAATTGAACG